AAAATGCTCTCTGAAAATTAAGTAAACTTTTAATATATAAAGTGTCAGAATTCAAGCTGTCGCGAAAATGATGGCAAGCACCCAGTGCAGTCCCAACTACTTATGGCAGACCATCTATCCCAAGCACCGAATTCATATAATTGAAGAGGAGGGAGAAAATCCCTCAAACGATTTCCATTATAGACCGCTAACTATGGTCTTTGTAATTGTTGTTTCTTCTTCAGCCATGTCAAGTATAAATCAGTTTTAGTCCACTAGTCTGGTGTGATTCGGACAGCAGTAATGCGGGGAAACTTTAGCTCCCCCATCGCCGACCCGCGACGCTGCTTTGCTTTTAATCTAATCGGCTGTCAATCGGGAAATGATGATAATCAAAATAATAAATACGTGATTATGAACATCCGGTATCTGTAAATACGTACACACACATGTACACGGAAATCATGTTCACCTTTCACTATTTGTTTGGCGGAACACTCTAATGTGATCCCCATTGCCGGGATAATTCAAAGAAGGGATTTCGGTTTGTGCATTTCCTCACCCAGCCAAACACACACCTCTTCATGCACACAAACACTCGCACAAGTTCAACCGGGCAATTCCGCTGCCCAGCGGACATTTGCTAGAACGTCTAAAAAATATCACTGTGTCTCGTTCGGTGCTTGGATATCCTTTGGTTTTCTACCTCTGCTTTTTCATGCCCCATGATGACGGAAAAAGTAACCGTAATGCAATAAGGTGTCTTTGTGTTCTTCCCAAAGAACTGCTCGTTCAGTCCACGTGGCCTAGCCGTACTGAAACACCGAAACGAATCAACGATGAATCCACTGCTAGGTAATTTGTGACATCAACCTAATATCTTATGGTATCAGGGTGACTGCCTAATTCCACGGGATTTTTCGTGAAAGGCTTCATCTACTTTCTTATTTGTTCAAAGTGGATCGATCATCAACACCGGAAAACAAACTTCGAAATAGGCAACAGCCAAGAAAAACGCAGTTGAACTAAAACCACACTTGTGGCAAGTACCACACATTGTAAGAACCGGAGGAGAGAAGAACAATTGCACAAAACAAAAATAAGGTATGGTCTATTGAACCACACACAATTGGATCGGAAATACGATTTACTCCGATAATAATTTAGTAAGTTTTTAATGATGGTGACTTCTATAACAAAGGTTAATCTTGATTGAGCCAATCGTACAAGGTGATGATCGTCATTCGTGTGACTTGGGAGTAATGATGTTGACTCACAAGGTTCACGGTTGGAGTCCTGACCGGGACAGAGAAGTATGCTGATAAGTGTCATGGTGCTCTTTTTTCGGTCATCACAATGATTTCTCTATCGCATTCAAATATCACAGATCAATGTCCATTGCTCGGCATCAGACTATTCACTCTTTGCGTAACGAAAAAGATATAAACAGGTGATCAGTGACCCTTTGAGCTTACATTCTAATAATCATGTGACACAATAGTCGATGACGGTGAATATTATGGTAGGAAAATGAAATCGACGTCGCTTGTTTGATCATTTCTTATCACTTCAAAACAGGTTTGTATTCGCAATGAAACTGTTTACTTTGTACACTGATCGTGATGATGGTTTACGTTCCTTGGAAATTCTACAACCACCTGACCGTCACCTCATCACTGTTCATTGATTGAGCCTAGTTAACCCAGAATCACCTCCATCTAACAGCAGTTTTAAACCGCACTATTCGTGGTCTCATAATTCTTAGAGGTGAATGTGTGAAAACGAAACAGCCCCAAATTCGCTCAGTTGCGTGATGCATTTCACGGGATTCAAATCTCCCGAGGTTCCAAACGAGTATGCCTAATCTGGTTCACAGCCCGTAACAAACTAACCGCCAACCGTTTGCTTTCTCAAACAGATGTGATTCAAACAACCAATTTTCCGACGTTACACAATCCACCGGTCAAATATTTTGTCCATGGATCAGCACTTTCGGCTGAATATCCTTGATTATGGACTCCTTTCCAGGTTTTGTAATGTAACTGTTTAGAACGATTACAAATTACCTCGCTTGAAGAATATACGCATGCATATACATATTGCGCAAGAAGGACACGCAGTTAGTATCTATCTGTCTGAGAAAAAGTTTGAAATTTTTTGTTGTGGGAATACCTTAAAATCTCAGGCTTTTCTCGTCCTATAGGTTCATGTTATGTTTAAAAGACAGTGATACATATAATTTCCAGAGTAAAAATGGCACGCTGCTGCACGCAGCTTCGTTTATGTTGGAATGTAACATGTACTAATGCTTCACCAAGCCTCCGTTTGAAAGATTCAATGCTTGGCGCACACAGACGACGTGGGGTGGGAGAGAGTTCCAGATCGAACACACTCTGACTGCGGATGACTGATGCCGGTATTCCAATCGGCGTTTTGAGACCACTAGTTTCAACAGATGCCTTCTAGGATGAAAGTTGGGTGATAATGTTAGCAGTGAGTGACAGCGATGGCTTGCGTTTTGCATTATTTGGTAAACTATAATCATGTCTCCTCTGATGCACCGGTAGTGATTGGAATATAACTCCCAAAGACCACTACGAATAACGATTCAACCCCTTAGCCATTTTGGTCGTCATCCGTTGTGAATGTTCCAGCATTTTTCAAGCACATTTTAGCCATGGATTCCACGGTTGGATAGCGTGCTCTGTGGGTGGGCGGATGTATGCTGATAACAGACGGGGCAAAAGCGCTGACTAAAACCGGTCCAAGACCTACCTAAGCAAACCGATATTCTTTAAAGCTGCGTTGTACACCCAAGAGCAGTTCATTGAGCAACGATGCCCAGGTCTTTCTCAATTGAGACGTGTTCCCTGGAAACTCATGACCGGTTTTGCATGGTTATTCCGATTTTTTAGGCACATGTATCTGGTAATTTTCAGACCGGACATATGTATACTTGTATCCTGAGTATATACTTTGTACAGATTCGCATCTCAGAGAATATTTCTGAACTAATCGTTGTCAAACATTTCACTTGATAATTATTGCTTTGATTTCATGTCGTATTTTTGCATGATGCTACTGATTGCAAAAAACTCAAATTTTAGTTTATATAATACTGGTACATACTTTTCTAGCAAGCCCTCAATTTATCTGGAGCTCCCACTTCCCAAATTCTAAAAGGTCAACGGCTGAATACCAGTTTTATAACTGGTGGTTTAAATCTAGCAACCTACCAACAGTATAGATCTGTTAGTGTAATGAGTTATTTATTATATCTGCAGTTGTTCAAAAAACGACCTGGGTCCCGTCAGAATTTGACCATTTTCGAGTCTCTCCGATACTCATGCGCTATCCTCCGATCAAACAAAGAAGAGCTGGAAAAGGGAAAAAATACTCTACGGTAGCTTTTTGCTTCCGGATTTGGAGCAAAAAATGTACTGCATTGTGTGATTTTGTTTGGAACTTGAGGTTGTGACACGCCTCATCCTTCACTCTATCCCAATAGTACAAAGCATTCCTCAGATTCGTATCCCCTCCTGTCGTTCGGTTCTCCGGTTACGAAATATTTCCAGGTGTTCCTCTTTCTGGGCCTTGACTTTCCGCATGGAAAAATAGCCTTAATCACAGTGGATGTCCAGTAACCGGAACCCCGGAGGAACTACCTCTGTGAAGTCACATAAACCCGCTGACTCCCGCTCTGTCCGGAAACCGTATGTGGTGTATTCGTGCGTACTAAAGGAGTTAAATCATAGGTAAAGATTATTACTCGTTCATGTACCACACAGTCCGTCCAGCGAGGTAAGTGAAGGCAACAGTCAAGAACGAGAGAGAGTGATCATGGGAAAATGAACGTTACAGAACCCGGGATCACATGATCCACTTGGCTCTACTACCCCATGTGCATGTCAAAGACATTTTTGTTTCATATGAATTTTTTCTTCAAATTTCAATGATTTTCTCAACAGAGCAATGCTGATTCTGGTAGTAAAATAGCCGGGTTCACTGAACACTCTTATACACACGCACACATACGCGGACGCAGGCACACACACGCACAAACACACGTCAAATGTGTGATAGTCGGCATAAAAACGTCACCCTATAACTCGTACAGCTTGTGAGTATAAGGGGAAAGGAACAAAATAGTGAAAATGAGGGGCAATAGGGGGTCGTGGGTGATGGGCCAGAAGGCGGGCGGGGACAATTTCTTTGACCTGTGACATTGTTAGGAGCGTAGAGGCAGACAAACGTACAGATAATGTGCGAACTGTATATTTGTCTGGGTAGTATAAGTGTGTTTAGACAAAAGAAAACAAACAGGTTGCATGAAAGTGATTAGCGTTCACTGAGATCTTCAGGTTCGGTAATTGTTGAACCTATGTACAACAAAACGTGGTAAGTTTGAACAGCAGAGTAGCAGTTAAAGATGGAAGGACGGATGAATCGACGGGGTGTACGATTTGGCATCAACAGTCGGGTGGGGGAAAAGATAGGAGGCGCGTGCGGGCGCGAGCACACACACACACGCACGCGCGTGAAAGCACAGTCCCGGTGTGGGTAAGAATAGACGGACGAAAGAGGATTGGTTATGGATGCGGTGTGTGATTTGTGATGAAAGGATGAAAGTGATCCGTTTGATTGTGTCTGTGTGTATTTCTGGTGAATGAAGGGCTGTTTGAAACAGGTGTTAATGTAGAAGGCAGTAACGGAATAGATGTAGAACAGGGAATAATAAAGAAAGGACTGGAAGCCTGGTATGATTCACGATCTGCTACATGAATTTATATCCGGTGTCTTGTTTTGTTTCGTGTACGTGATTTATGATCGCTTTGAGCAGAATGGGAAAAAGGAGAGAAACAGACAAGGAACTATCTGTTTCCAGTGAGCTCTGAAGAATCTATCGATATCAAGGCGAAGCGCAAACACAGATAACAACGAATGCGTCTTCGGAACACATCGAAAACAGAAAAAAAATCAAAAGTTTGAGAAGAGGCAAATAAGCTCCGGTCACGCGACTATCACAGGGTTGAATCATAGTTTCCGCTCAGTCGGGTCCGTGTGTCGTCCACACGTAGACCATTGTGACCAATACTATCTCGCATGTGATTGGACGGGCGCCGTGGACGATGACGTCTTTGCACGTCTGCCATATTGGCCTCGAATAGGCTTCGTTGTGGAGTATTGCCTCCATCCGGTTCCGGATCCTGATCGGAATTGAGAAAGTCACGATAGTGCTGACCTCCATTCGCCCGACGTCCTTCGCGGACGGAGTGACGACGTTCCGGTGGTGAGTCATTTTGACCAACTAACGATGCTAGTTGTCGACCGTACTCGTGCCCAGTGGAATAGCGTCGATAATTATTAGTACCATTCCGTTCGTTTCGTACAGCCTATTACGTAACATAAAGAAAACCGGAATTGAAAGAAAGGTAGTTGAATTTCAAACAGAAATTAGAAAAGAAGAGAATAAAATCCGATGCTTAAAACGATCTATTCTGATTTCTTTGGAGGGGGAGAACGCTGATTGTTGAGTTTAGCAATGGCGTGAGGGGTGAATACCGCCAAAAAGACGGACTAATTTCTGCAAGAATCGCATGGAACACGACGTGAAAAATCCAACTGCAGTGACTGAGCGTACATCCCAGTTCAAACGGGTCGAAGTAGCAACTATGGTAAGCTTTTATTCTTCCAAATTCCGAGGTGCTATATTGTTAGTTCAAAT